TAGATGGCAGTTATATTCCCGTGTTTATGATGGCAGATATAAATCCCGAATACGACCAACTTGAGATTGTTGTTGTATTTTGTGTGTAAGTTACTGTTTGCTGAGCATTTCAGAGATTATAAACATCGTAGTCCAAAGGGCATCCGTAGCACTTGTAATGAACAACTTTTGGTCTTTTTTTCCCTTGCATTTATTTAACCGAGGCGCTAATAATCCGGGAGAGTCGTCGCTTTGGTCCAAACACTCCGTTATTTCACCTGTCACTGGGGTGATAAGCCCCGAATCCAAGATCTTAGCCAGCAATGGGCGGGTGTAGTGAGACGGGACATGCCCGGACATGATCACAGAGAGCTAGACAACTCGGCAAAGAGAGTCTACCACCGCTAGGCGTCTGAAGCAAGTCACGCTTTTGACAAGTCATGCCCGAACCCGCCCAGGACAAGATGATCGGTGCGGTGGATTCTAGCCCTGACATGCCTCTCTGCGTCTATTTAAACCATAGACCGGCCGGCTCCCACTCCACACTAACCCAGAGCTCAAGCACTTTATGTACAGGTAGCAGAGTATATAAGATTCATAGCTAGAATAGCCAATTTACCTCTATTTGCACAGGTAATGTTGATTCTGAAGCTTGCATGTGTGCTGAACTGGCTTTAAATTGTTGTATGTAAAATCTAACTCTGTTTATTTTTTACAGATAACTACCAAAATGGCAACAGAAAATTGTTTAAGCAGTTCTCAGATCAACAAGGTTGACAACGAAAAACTGGTAATGTAGCATTCAAGGTGTGCCTTTGTGTATTTAAGTGTGTTTTTATACTTTGAAATGACTGAGTGTTATTAAATGTAACTTTAGGTAAGACCAAAAGTGCAGCTGAAAAGCCTGTTAGAGGATGCAGGTGCAGATAAAGATGTTTTCACCATGAAGGAGGTGAGGAGATGTGTCTGCTGACAGCAGTTTAAGTCCATTTTATCAGATATAAACTAATGTTAAAAAGTTTATGGTTGCGAAGATATTATGAAGTCTCTTAAGCTTAGCAAAACGGCATTTATTTGACCAGAAATACAGTAAAAAGAGTAACATTTTGAAATATTATTTCAATTTATAATAGATATTTTTTTCTCTATTTGAATATATTTTAAAATGCAATGTGTTCCTGCGATGGCAAAGCTGATTTTTCAGCAGCCATTACTCCAGTCTTCAGT